GCGGTATTTTGAATCCGGTGGCCGTACCCGGGATATTGTATACGCTATGTACGTATATAACTGTGCAGTATATGTGTGCATGGTTGTATTATACATCTATTCCAGCCAAAGCTGAGCTCGACCGATCCCTAAGAGTTAGCTCGTACAACTTCCTACTTTTACAGCTACATCTCGTTCTCTTTATACGACCGTTTTATCCAAACTGTACGCTGTATTTTGAGATTTAAAATGGAAAAATATTAAAAATACAAATAAAATATTCTTTATTTTGTTGAGAAATTCAAACTCGCGAGAGAGCGACTTCAAAATGTTGAACATACTCGTTTAAGTAATTGTGTCGCTATATATTACTGTATGAAAATACTTTTTACGATATTTTAAGATTATGATATTTTATAAGTTTCTACGACTGCTCGTAAAAGTATGACACATGATTTTAACTACAATTAAAAAGTTGTTTGCATGCGTATAATAGATGTTGCTGCAAATTTTATTCGATTGTTGTTGATAAAATAATTCCACTTTCTAACGCAGAACCTTGAACTAGCTAACTCGAATAACTTTTGAGTTTATTTCGTTGTCGCGAGGTTAATAAGCAAAGCATAAGCTTTTCCAATGAGGCAAACGTATTGTCAACCTGCACAAGACTTCCTCATTTATCATAGTTATAGGGTAATCAAATTATAAGACTTGAAAACTTTTTTTCTCTCCCTCTTTCTCACCCAATGTAATAGTAATTATTGCAAGCTATTTCTATGAAACTGAAATATCACAAAAATAAATGCACTATACATTCAATGTATCTCAGTAGCTCTCTTGACTATATAGAATAATTTATTTGCACAATAAAAACACAATGTAATTATATATTATTTCTTTTGGATTCTATGCATCGATAGAGTATCAAACGAATCAACTTTTTATGTCGATTTTTCCACCTTCCGTACATAGTACTCTTTGACTTGCTCTTCGTTTTTCCACATTTGTTTCTTTTTCTTGCTTCCCTCTCCTGCGTATGGGATACATTTTTTATATATTTCTCGACTGCCATGGCGACTAACTTTCTACATCTTTAATAAACGCCCAGAACCATTCGACGCGTTATATACATGGACATAGTGACTGGCATACTTGATGATACGTCGAAACTTTATTAGGATGAAACTCCAGGTTGTATTATATATAAGCGCACACTTACGCGTGTGCCCTCCCCAGCAGTAGCAGCAGCAGCATTAATTGGATGATGAACCAAAAATAACTTTCGACCCCGCGTGCAGTGAAAAGAGAGAACGAGTTTAATGAGCAAGACTCGACGGTGACTAGGAAAAACTTTTTCCCTACCCTGCACTTTTTACCAACATCGACGTGTAGCTATCTATGTATTTCTCTCTCTCTCTGCCCTTACGTTCAAGGCGTTTTTTTTTCACGTTTATGCTTGGAAGATAGACTAGCTTTAAACGTATTAATATTTGAATGGACGTTTGTGCATGTTTCATGAGCTCGCAAAGATCGTAATAAAGTAGCACGGAATTCTTATTCAGCCGAGTCGCATAATAGAGACTCTTTGTATTATAATTAAGTTTGAGCTGTCATTCAAGATTACTTTTTTTCTAGAAGAAGATAAAATCCTGTTTTAAATCGTTTTTTGATGCAAATAAAAATGTATTGAAGTCGCATATTGTAATGCGAATTCATATCTCAAACGTGCTGAGCCCGAGTATTAGCATTTATATTATGCGTGCGTTTGAATTCGTAAGACAAACGCGTGAATTGTATAAACATCTAGTATGAAGATATAAAACGTCGAAGCTATTCAGGGAAAAAAAAGATAATCGATTCTAGTGCGGATAATCTGATTTCACGGAACAATAGATAAGCTTTTTTTTCGAGCTTTATGAAAAGTTTATGAAGCTCGACTATATATGAGCAAAAGCTTTATGAAAGTTATCAAACAAAATGTTTCACCTTAGTTTGCTGCTTCGCAGCGTTGCTTCTATTGCGGAACGTCAAAGCCGCTTAAAAAAGCAAGAAAAATAACGATGCTCGGGCCGAGCTGACAGCGTTTCACAATTCGAGACATTCTCGCGCGCGAGTCGAATCTTTTTCTCCGTGCGGCATTATACGCGTGTCAGTCAATTTTCACGGGACTAAACAAAGCCTTCGTTTCACACGTGCGCATTCATGCGGCACTTTTTGGTTAAATTAACTCCTTTTTTCTCTGTGGTACAAACGAGGAACGGCCATGGGGACTTTTATCGCAGAAATATCGAGGCAGTCGAGTATGAAACAAAAAAACAGAACTTTAATAAATGTCCATATGAGTGCATTTATTTGCTATACGCTTAAAAAAATTGTTTTCTAATGCCCGAGGCTGCAAAGGAGTAAACACATAATCGGCACAAAGAATGTAAATAGGCCTTATCCAAGTGGTTAGCAAAGCCTTAAAAAATTCGTCGTTGGTAAACACAGTGCGACAGGACCCCTCATCACCCTATAAGCGATTTGAGCAGGACCTGTCCGCTTTTACTCTTCAATCTCTTAATTGAATAATTTTTGCGCATACATACGTTTATTTGCTATATTCACCCTATATTCATTCCGGCATTGTGAAAGTTTAACCAACAGTCATTTGTTATAATCTAGATATTGACTTTTCGAACTACGAGTTTAAGTTACACGATACGCGTTGGATGAGGTCAGTAGACAATTTTTTCATTTTGATAAAATTAATCATAACTATTGATTATTTTGGTTAATTAATACATGTATAATATTTGACATCAATAATGGTATCACAGTAATTGGCAAATTGAAATTATTAGGTGAAATTGAAAAATTGCTCAAATTCTCTTGCTAGTTAAAGAGAAGCTACCAACTTTATATCCGTTCCGAATTCCTGAGATATCATGTCTTCTCCAGCAACTATACGAAAGTACTGAAAAGCTAAGAAAAATATCGACAATTCCATCGAAGCTTTTCCATTTAGAAAATAAGAAAGGGCAAAAGTACCATTAATTACCACTCACCTCACCGTTCGAAAGAACGATTAGTTTTCTTCACCGAACGTATAGCCTTTATCCCAAACATTTTTCATCCCCTTGCAATCGACAACATTGCGGCGTGTAAATAAACCGATCTAAATGACCAACGCCTGTTAAGCCAAATGCGCCAATAGTACTTCTACGAACCAGTATTTTCAATCCTCCGTATTCTGCACTCTTATAAAGAAAAATTGCGTATCGAGAATTGAAGCATGTAGTCGTCTTTCTTGTGCCGTGAGCCAAACGTAAGCAAATAAAATTCAGACCAGTTTTCATTTTTCTGCCTCGCGTTTTATTAAAAAAGCTTTCATTCTCGGGTACCGTGTATATATAAGTATGTTGGGGTGTGTACTCACCTCTTTTTTTTCATCTTCTCAAGTCAAAAGTATATACATCACCGGCATACGGGGGGTTAGACGCGCAGCACAGGAGCAAAAGCAATGCCTTAATAGGATTGGAATATTTAGCGACGCGATGCTCGCAAGGCTTTCGGTCCTGTGCGTTCGAGTATTCCAACGTGTACAGCGGATATAGAGATAGGCTCACTCGCGCGCACTTTGAACATTTTTTCGATTTAATTGAATGCTTGGCAAACAAGGGTCCGCGCGCGACCCTCCCTCCATGACTCTATGTCTGTTGCGTAGTATCATTTTTTTCGTTTTTAATTATTTAAGAAAGTTTCTACTGCAATGAAGAACTTCAATAGGCACTACCATCTGCTTAATAAGCATTACTGCGAATTGGGGAATGTTAATTTTGTAATATCAAGAAAAAAATTCCCGTAGCTTTACACGTAAACATTATCTTTAAGACATGAAATGATTATCATTTGTAGCTTTCTTTGATGTATCAATACATTAAAAAGCCGTCCATAAAATTATACAAACAACTTTAAGATCAGATCCAAGAAATTTTATTACGCTCCAGAACAAAGCTTTCAACTCACCACGTAAGATTAAAAATATATTGTTATCAATTTTACGACTAAAAATTTTTTCCGTGTATTGTTGAGAGGAAAAAGGAAAATAAAAGAACAAAACAATAAATCTTACTTTATATCAACGCGATGGTTCTCTATGCGGTTTTTTACGAGCCCAAGTCATAAAAGTTCTGCACTGAAGCATATAAATAAGGCAAAAGGAAAATTAACCTAACGGAAAAATCCCATTAAAAAATATTCAAAGTATCTCAAACTTTAAATCAATAGATGCTTCTGACAATATAGTTATTTCTGAATTTCATAAAATGATGATTAATGGCAAAAATAAAAAAATGCGTGGTTTCATTAAGAAAGGAGTAAACTTATGAATTTTCCGACCAACGAGCATACAAGATAAATAAAAGATTGGAAAGAAGAAGTTGTTTTTCACACCCGAGCGTACATAGCATATGCAAGTGCATGTCAGCTTCTATGTCGGTTTGATCTCCTTAGGCGAATTTTAAATGCATTTCTTACATGCGTGCTCCACAGTGCGAATACAGATATACATAGATTTTTTTCTTATTCAAGTCTTAGATATATAAAATCGAGTCTTTTCTGCAGCGAGCGTAAACATTGACATTTCTCTCTCGTGCGCATTATACATATATACGTGAGTTTTTCTTTTCTATTTTCGCATCTGTGTACGCGCTCTGGAGCTTTTTCATCTTAAGGATCAGAAAAGAAAACAAAGTCATGAGCTCGTGTGTGAATATTTTTATTTTCCTTTTTTATCTTTCAACAGCTGTGGGTTAGTTTTCCACCTTGTCGATAATCTGTTATCCGATACCTTAAACACGAAGAAAAAAAATGTCACCGTGTCAACAACATTTAATTTTTTTTTTTTTAATAGAAAAATTATTTGTTCAGCTTTATTCTTTATATAAAGATACATTTATGAAATATAATCATAATTTATACATCAAATCCTAATTCAAAATAATATTAATGTTTTCCAGGTAAGCAGTGACAGTTTTTTATGACAATAAACTTATATTGGAGTTGGACGTAACACACTTTATTATCAAAGGTCAGTTAAACATACGTGTGGAAATTCAATAGTATGATCATCAATTTCTATCACTAATAGCGTGCTCATCATAAAATACTAACAAACAAATGCTCAAGTTCACACGGTTCGTATACATGATTTCCGTTGCAAATTCACTTTATCATCGTCATTATAAATGTACTTTCATAGGCGAATTCGGACGTGTAAAAGCCTACTCGGAAGGAGCTTGTAAACCTATCCGAAAAACATTTTCCCCATTCCTCTTTCATCATACCGTGTATAGATAAACGCTTTTAGCTTCCCTCTATAGGTGCAAAGGCCGTCTACCTATAGCTGACGAGGCACTCTTTTGCATCCATTCTCCTCATTTTCTGCTATGTCTCTTTTATACACGCCAACACGTACGCATCGGCACGTATATATACATCCGAGTCATGGCGCTTTTTCCTTTGCGATGGCCCTTTTTTAGTCGTCCACCCCATGGCTTGCGTATCCCTGCTTGCGTATTATATACAACAAGTCTGCATAAGGGAATATATATATAGCTATAAAAAATTATTTACCATATTCGGCTGTAATTCAAGACCCTGTTTGCGCCTCTTTCTCTTTCATTCTCTTTCAGAGTCGCTTTACGCGTACCCCTGCACCGACTGGATAAGTGCGTAGTGACTTTCGGCTTTATGCTATCGCTAGCTTTTCCCTTACTCGCGACTACTCTCCAGGAGAGCGAAGAGTGGAGCTTTTTTCTCGCTACGCACCATCACGGCCACTTCTTGATCGTGCCTCATATTAATTGCTCCCGGCCGCTCGAGCTATACATCGTGGCGTTGCACACGATACAGCCAGCGAGCTTTGTCGCGCGTGCCTTGGATTTTTTTCTCGCGCCATCGTTTGCATTTTCACTTTTCCTCGAGCACGCAGCGATACAGGTACTCTCTCGCTTTTCCGTTTCATGTTTTCTTTCTTGTTTTTTTCGCTTTTTTCTCTCTTCTCACGAAGCGCGAACCCAACCCTTTTCTCTCGGCGCAGCGACCGTCACTACACTCGTTCTAGCTCAGCTCTCTCGGGCTCTTGTGACTTTGACGCCGGTCGTTGTTTATAACGTCGCAAGTGCAGCCCAAGTAGACATTCTCTCTTTCTCTCTTGCTCGCCAGCAGCTTGGCTCATGCTTTTGATGTTACGCGAGAACTCGTCGCCACCGCGCCTTTCTTCTCTACAGTATCATGTTGAATTTTTATTTAATTTTGTTTTAACTTTACTTCGTATCAAGAGGAGTAAGAGATGAGTTATTTTGCTCTCGTTGAGAAAAAATTTTCTTTTTAGTCGGCAGCTGCTTTTCCAGATGCGGTCATGCGTGCACTTTGGTATACTTTCTGTAAGCAGCTCGCGCGCTCCTCGATAATGCTAACAAAATTGAAAATTAAAACTACGTGAAGCATCTTTAAAACGTGAAAAAAACGATATTGCGCTCGCAAGCTTCTAGCATAGTCAGCTGCAACACACAACTTGAACCCCTTTACTCAGATTCTCGTCGAAGAAAGAAAGAATTTGCCGCAGCCGATACCTTTATAAGAATGTGGCATTTTCGACACAATATCTTACAAAGCTGCGGCAGAAGCAGTGAAACTTTCACGTAAATCGGAAAGTGACGAGCGCAGAACATTTTTTTGGTAAAATGCCATACACACACACAATAGGCATCTCAGGCGTCGATCAAACAAAAGAGAGCCAAGAGCTGAGCCGTCTATAAAGAGTAAAGTCACATCGAGCGTACTGCACGCGACAATATCGTACTCGTATCTCTCGGTGCCGACGGCACGCCTATATATAGCTCCAACCAGCCGGGCAGAGTTGATAAAAATGGGTATCGATTTTAGTCTATTATTTTGAAGAAATAAAAAATGCTTCAAGTAAGTACACCCTTCGAGCTTGAGAGTTATAATCATCCTTAAGTTAAATTTATTGTAAAGTTTTTCACCAGCCTATTAAACCATCCGAATGTTGATTAGTATCAGAGTCATAAGGAAGAAACGTTTATGCTGCCATGAACTATGAAGCGAAATAATATCGTCACAACGAAGGGGAGTTATTTGATTCCAGATAACAAATGTATATTTTGTGGAAATGCGCCGAAAAGGACGAAAGATATTTTCTGCGAGCACAAAAGCGCGTGAGATGCTATTATGAGTCATGAAGCATTTATATTAAGCCTTATTGGCTATATTTGCAGATGAAACATAAATAGTTCGAATATTTTGTAAATGATTTTGTCACAGAGGTAAAGAGTAAACTGAGAAAAAATAAACAAATGAGAATCATCTGCTGTTTAAAAGATATATTCTTTGATTTGATGGAACTTGTGACTGCGTATAAAACTACAACTTGATACTCCTGTAACGGGCTTTCTGTAATTACACGGAAAAATATAATGTTATTACATAAACCCTTAAGACATCTTTAAATGAACCCTCTTTGTTATGATTTTTTATGTATTCTTTAAAATGTCCACGCGTGCTTTACTTATTCCCACGCGCAACTCTTAAAACTAATAGTATTAACATCGAATTAAATATCTAGTTATCAAAATAACTAGATAATAACTCTTGTTTTGATGTATTATAAGTGTAAAGTATTCATCACTGACCTTGATTTTTCTCAAAATTTATTCTTAAAAAACACATTTCTAAAAACAACGTAAAAAAATCTAAGAAGGAAATGTCAAATACACATAAAACGACACAAAATTACTTTCAAAACTCAGCAGTCCGAAAAAACATCATTAAATGTTCATGTATTTCATTATATTTCCTAACAATCCAATTATTTTTCGTCCAGCAGTCCATGTCATGAAAAAATTGTTGTAGAAAACAGGCTCGAGTTGAAAATGATAATTAATTGTTATTTCTCGAAAAAGACACTCAGGTAGGAAACGACGCATTGCATTATTTATAATTGCAGCATTGCCTAGTGGGCATGCGTGCGCGTACGTCAATGCAAGCTGCCAACAGAATAGAGCTTTTTTCCTCTTCAATTTCCAACGAGCAAAGGGCTTTGTGAGGTAACGGAGGGTAAATCAGCTCAGATACCACGAATAAACCTGCTAAGAAATATATATGTACGTACATTATACTCGTGCACAGTACGCCAGGAGAATAAAGAAAGATGTACGGCAGGGTCGTGGAATATTTTTATATACAAAGATGAGCGATATCGTAGGTAGTTTTTTACAAGACTAATACCTGAGTGCAATTTTATTCAACCATGCACGTAAGAAAAAAAATTAATAAAAAATTTAATCGGCTAGTATAACGTAGCTAATTATATCCCCTCTAACTCGGTCGTTGTGCTCTATTTAAAAAAATGAATTATCGAAGTTCTCTGTATAAAATGTAATTACCTTAAAAAAATTTAGACTGAAAATCAAGGAAAAGGCTATATAATAGTAAGTTTGTCTCTATCCACGAAACCTTGTGCATGTGTAAATGTCTTTGTGTATGTGCGTTCTAAGAATTATGTAGGAGGAGTATACATAAGTTATCGAACTGGTCTTAATTCATAACTCGACACAGAAACGGAAGTAAACAAAAGCAAACCTGCAAGCTCGCGCTGTTATAAGGGAGCAACAACTCGAGCCCAGTCCAAACACTTGCCTCGAAATTATCTCCCAGTACTCGAGTTTACCTTTGTGCCGTCCTCACAGAGGAATTAGAAATTTCCCCTCTCACGTCTATACGGCGCATCAGGAAATAAAGTGCGATAACGGACTATATAAGTTGCCCAAAGCTCTGCACGTGTATAGCCATGCGAACGCGTCGAAAGAGTTGCCCGACACAGCCACCGTGCATATATGTAAGCCTCGCATGTAGTTTCGTTGCACGATAAGAGAGATAGAAAGAGAAACGGAGCAGTAGAGGATATAGTATGCGAGAGGATCCTCACTTAAAATAATGATGGACCTGAAAGTGAAGCCAATCTATTCGGCCTCTGATTGGTCGACTGACTTTTGACTCGAGTCGAAACGTAATTCCTTTTCCTTTCTTCTAACTTATAAAAAAGAGATGGACCTAAAAGTGAAGCCAATCTATTCGGCCTCTGATTGGTCGACTGACTTTTGACTCGAGTGGAAACGTAGTAAAGTGACATCTACGGTCAAAATAGCAACTTTTTCGAAACTGACTGAAAAATGTACGCGCGCGAAGCGCGCCTGACAGTTGCTAGTGTACGTATACGTGTCGTATAAGAGAAAGAGAGACGGGCTACTGATCGATTCTTCGGGTTTTTCTTCCTTCCTGTCTGCCTCGTGCGCCTGTCTACCTGCCGCCTATGTATATGTATATAAGTAAGTAGGCTGCATGTAGCTGGTAGAAGTTGCGGTGAGTCCGGCCGTGTTTCAGCTCTGGCCTTCGACTCGCAACTGGTCTGCGGTTCCCTTAGATTTCCACCCATGAGAATTGCCAATAGATCTTCCGAGACTGAACAGAGGCAGTAAGGGTAAACACTAAAAGTGTCGTCACAACTACATGCTATGTTTGTGCCCGTTGGCTTTGGTAAAATTAAGCGTGAGCTAATCATTGGCTAATAGAGAAGCCTTCTCTAAAATCTTCCATCAACCTTACAAATTAGCTAAAATAACCAGTCATTTTAATCAGGAATCGGTGAAGGTTGTTCTTCCATGCAGATGTATACATGCCCCATAGGTGCATAGTACGGACACTTGGAGTATATTTGGCGCAGAGCGAATCGCACACTCGGGCTAATATATAGAGCAGTTATACTGCGCTGCAAGCCACTCGGACACGCGATATGCTTTCAAGCTCTAAGCATACATGATGCACTGCTCGTAACAAATGTATGACGTTAAGCACTTGGGCTGGCTCCGAGACCTTAATGGCCCTTCCTCAACTGCACAGCTACTTAGCCCTGGCAGATAGAATATTTGATTTAAGCCGAGTATAATTTTGCCTTTAATGCGCGCCCTGCGTACAACTAAGACCGAGTGTGCACACTGTCGAATTTTC